CCATACATTTTGAACGCAGCCTTATACCTAGTTATAACTAACCTTCGCCAAACCTGTAAATCTGATTCGATAGCAAAGAGTAAATCACCAAGTAAACGCTGATGCATCGTAGACCAAAGAAACTCGGGAATATTCACATGTGCACGATACTGAGAAGCCTCTTCTGGGCTTGCTGCGGTCGTGTCGGTATTTCTACTTGGAGAACCCTGGGCACTAGTACACGGAGATTCTGACGTGCTTCCGCTTGGTTCCGGAGACTGCGCACCTGGGGACGCACCGCTGGCTTCATCGTCTGTACTTTGTGCTTCAGTTTTTGCTCCTCTTGGGGAATTATTTACAACTTCATTTTCATTCTCAGAGGTAGCAGCTGTTGCTCCTATGAACGAGCTTTTCATTGTTAAACTAATACTACTATCCTGGTCTTTCGCTCTTTCTTCAGCTAACAATTCCCCATTCTCCATGTGGGATGGTCCTTCAGAGTTCGTTTTAGATTTATCATTGTCACTAATACTTTGTTCTCCAGATTCCTCTTTAGGTGACTTTACTTCAAGTCCTTCAGTAACTTCAGATCCTTTTGGTATCGAAACAACACTAGAATCATCTTCTTTGACGACTGCCTCAGAAATCGTTGCGATTTCTTTTTCTTCGCTTTCATTCTTAATTTCACTACCATTATCATCATTACCCGATCCTGATCCCTTTCTTTCATTTTCAACTTTCTCTTCTAAATCTTTCTTGGGCGAATCCACGCACACAGCAAGACCAGGAACGCTCTTTGAAACATTTTTACTTTGAGAATCAGCAACTTCAGTACCCCGCACATCAGATCCAACACCTGTTACACTTCTTTCGTTTTCCTCTTCCTTATTATCTATTTCTGGCTCAGGTTTTTCCTTAGTATCATCACCGACATCCTGCGCAGTTTTATCTCCGACTTCCCTACCTTCTTGACTATCTAAATTTTCTTTTACGCCTTCCTCGCGGGAAATTGCAGTCTCATTTTTGTCTTCACTAGGAGATTCAGATTCTTTCTCCAGATGTATATCTGTTTCCTTCTCCTTCGTGTCATTATTTTTCGCGCTGTCTTCTGATGTAGCAACAGGAGTATTCCCCTCTAATCCTTCAGTCTCTGTGCTTCCAGTCTTTTCATCGATAACAGGAGCCTTCTCAGAAACAGGTAGCCCAGACACATCACCATCTTCCTCTGATGAGCAAGCATGGTTCTCTGGAGTTTCGTTTTCCTTAGAGCTTTTAGGAATCTCATCGGTTGATTCCTTCTCCTCAAGAATAGGTCCAATCTTCTCGCTACTAGAAGCGCTCTTTCCCTTTAATATCGACTGGAAAAACTTCTTTTTTTCATCATCAGATTCTGGAGATTTTGGTCTTCGTCTAGAGGGGTCGGCGTCAGAGTCACTTTTTGTCCGAACGAGGTGCTGCGAGCGAACTAGATGTGAATCACTTTTTGTCTTTGGAGGTTTGTTTTTCTTGGCATCTGCTTCCTTTTCTTCTTTTTCTTTGTCGTATTGGCTGACCTAGAAAACAAGATAATGCGTTTATATTAAGTAGGAGTTTGTACCCCTGTAAACACATGGACAATAGAGGTCATGTTGGTCGTTTGTATTTGTTGTGGCTGGCAGTAAATGTATAGAGCTGTTAAACAGCTATGGGTAGTAGGGTCTCAATGGGATGGTGTTAAAATCTCACGATACGAATTCATGCTGTTCTGTGACCGTGAATATGCAGTGTTCTTGGGCTTTCGCTTGTTGAATGACCAATTAAATGAAGTCTATGGATCCATTCAGCTTGGGCGTAATGTTTTCCCATTTCAGACCACATGGCATTTCCATATTGATATATCTTTGTGCGTCATCGATAAAAAAATAAAACACAAGGGGATAATACATGTGATGAAATGACGTCAAAGCTACTAATGACGTCAAAATTGGTCTATTGATCTTGACTGTGCCGTGCCATGCCCTTTCAGTTATGCTAAATATTGTCCAATGAAAACTTGCTGCTTAATTTTTACGCGTCATAGCTAGGTTATGTAATATTACCTTTCCATGTAAAATAGCCAGTGTATCCACCCAGATCCGCCAGCCTTCTCGTTCTTCTTGGAACGCATGGTGAAGAAGCATCCGAAACAACGAGAACACTGTGTCTGTTGTCCTCTGCTCGACTGAATAATAATATACCCACATGAGAAAACGTCAAGGAAACAGTCATCATTATTATACAAGTATGTGAGTAAAGGTCTTACGGGAAGATGATAAGGTGTATGATAGTAAGAGGAAAAGTAGAATGGGAATGAAATGAAGGGAAATTGGAATATGTATGGGTAGTAAGGTGAAAGGGATGCAGACTGAAGAAGCATATGAAATAAGACAGGTTGATATGAAACAGGATGGAAGAAAAGAATAGAAGGGAAGGGAAGGGAAAGGAAAGGAAAGGAGAATAAAGACGAAAGAAAACAAATTGATAGAAAAATTATTATTTTAAAGGTTTAGAGCCTCGTATCATAAAACAGAAAAAAGCTTGAGTGAATTTCAAGAAAATGAATCCTACCTTTGTCTTTCGGTTCTATGTAAGCTAAAGAAAACAGCCAGTCTTGCCAGCAGGAGAGCTGTAAGAGTATACTGAAGGAAAAAATGATAACAGATATTCGATATTTTTTTCTCTATGCAAAAGAGCTATAACTATTAACAAAACAGCGGTAGCTATAAACAATGGTAGGGACCATGGCTGTGGGAATAAAATAGATCATATAATAAATATTACGCAAAAAACTGGCACACCTTAGTCTTAGCGAAAAGTGTCAGCTTTTTAAACCAAAACATCAAACAGAACTTTAATTCAAAAGTTGATTGCATCTATACATTTGACCGAATAGATGAATTTGACTAAAAAAAAATATCCTTTCGCCCTCCCGGCCTTTGAGTCAATAGCCCATTCGGGCTCGGGGACTCATTCCTAAACAGTCTCACTCTTCCCTCCATTGCCACAGGAAACCCAGAGAAAAAAGGGCATAAAGAAGGACTCCTGTGGTTGGGCCTTGACATACCAATCAATAGTAAGGGGCTTGCCGGATTTTTATTTTTTTATTTTCATACCTTCGATTTTCTTTGCTATGATTGAGGAGCAGAACCAGATCAGACAAGAACAGGCGTTTGAGGTCGTGTTTTCCATTTGGTGAAGAGTTGCTGCTTGATTCAATCGACGCTTCTGCTGCTGAAGCTTCTGGGAGCTCATTTAGTGGAGACTTGTCTTCGAGTTGGTGCAGCATTTTGACGATAACAGGGGCGAGATCTAAAACAAACATGTTATAACGTGTGACAAAGAACGTTTAATCTGCTACCGTTAACCCGAGGCTGCAATCCTCGTTTCACTACGTTAAGGAATACACACGAATTCACACGAATAAACAAAACGACAAAATCTTACTTGGATTATGAATGACATAGCTGGCGTCTGGCTCAGGGTGTCGTGCACTGACTATTTGTTTGGATACACGTCCAACAAATATCTTCAACACAAAACATGGTATTTAATTTCATCATCCTAACCAACTTGGGCGCTGGCTGAAGTAAAACAGGCCTCAGAGAAATAGAGAGTGCGGGGAAACGCTAAAAAGAATCTTGAGAAATTCAACTTCAACTTTCTGTTTAGAATGAAAAAGTCAGAAAAATCTAAACAGTCTCGCATCTTGCTGCGGACCCGAAAGTTTTTTTGTTTTTTTTTTTTTCACGCGACTAACTCGCAAAGCCAAAAGCATCTCATTATAGAGGTTTTGGATCATCACGTGACGGCAGCCATGTTAGATGTCAAGAACAATACAATCGTTTTTACATGAGTAAAAATTCAATTCCCGAGAGCAAAGGGATTTTATTGTCCTGCCATCTAACCACAGGCGGCCCAAGCAGTATTGTGGGATGGGCACGTGATGATGCAAAACCTCTATTTGGTGAGGAAAAGACGAGTATACTCACTTCAAATAGTACATTGTACGTGGTGAGCGTCAGGCCATGTATCATGATTTTCTTCCCGATCATTGAAAACAAACCATAATGTTGTAGAAGCTCCACTTTTCGCCTGAAGAACAAAAGCCATAACGATAAGAAAAGGGCGATTTTAGAAACACGGATAAAGACAAGAGCCCTGCCCTTTTTGCTTCGTGATTATTTAACTCTTGTAATGAGACAGCTACATGGCAGTAGAGTGACCACACTGCTTTTGTTTTTAGTGTGTCCACTTGGGAAAGAGACTAATGGATTATCCCTAGCACTAGGGCCATTCTACCTTTATGTAAAGGGTATCTATATTGTGACGCACGTACTTAATATTACAGTTATGGATGAAACAACCAATGATCTTCAAGGCAAATACACGGACAGACTCTAGAGAGGCGTCTAGAAACTTGAAAATAATCCTATAGAAATATAATTAAGAAAAAAAATCATTTAGTTATTAGTTCGTTCGTTCGTTTACTCATTCTCCCATTCTTGCATCTATCACTTTCTCTTGTATCTCTCTCCCTCCCTTTCTTCCTTGTTTTCTTTCTCTCTTTGTTTTTATTTATTCATTTATTTAATTTTTTTCTCCTTTCTATCTATCGTTTTTTCTTTCATTTTCTTTCACTCTTATTTTTTCTCTACGCACCTTAAACCATCTACTTTATCCAGAGCAGGAACAGCTGTTTCAGGTTTCTCTGTCATGATCGATAACACCAGCTGCAATACGTCCAGGATATTTTCTTCCTGGAATAACAACAATTATATTCAAATGTTAGTTAAACACAGATCCAAGAACTCCTGACAGGGGCTCTCTGGGGTAGGGTATTGGTAGAGCATAGGTAGGGCATGGTAGAGCATGGTAGAGCATAGGTAGGGCATAGGTAGAGCATATGCCCTTCTCGCTCTCCAAACCCTACCTATATCTGCTTACGATGAGGTTAATAACTAAATATTTGAAATGTTTAAGGATTGGGTATGCTTGCGTACAAGGGGCCACTTCCAACCTCTTCCCATAACACATGAATACAACCAACTCTAATGGGAATTGGCACAGTATTGCTTCTGCAAAAAGGAGCATACATCACAATAAAACCTCACTTCCCTCCTCCAGCATATCTCTGAAACGTTAACAGGAAAAATAAATAAGAAAGAGAATATACAGACCTCTTTAGTAGCAACCAAGTAGGCTAAAATACCATACAATTCATCTTCTGCTATACCGTGATCCTAAAACAGTAAAAAAGAAAAAGTTGGCTTCTTCAAAGACGTCAAAAAGGCCCAAACATAAAGAAACCAATTCTTGTTTACCTTCAGGACAAGCTGTTTTACTAGAAGAAGTAGGAATGCTCGAAGAGACTTGACGTCTTCTTTACTAGGACGTGGGGTGCCTTAAAAGAATGACATTAAAACTTACGAACTTTTCTAATGGAAAACTGGCGATGGAATCATATGTTAAAATGTTGAGCGCGCATCTGTCTCTGAAACAACGAAATAGCCGCGCGCGCAGCTGGTAAGACGAATGATTTATTTTGCTCCCTCAAGGACGTGTGCGCAACACTTAATTCACTTAAATGTGCGCAATTAATGCACCGCATCCCGTCGCGTGGTCGTAACTTCGATCCTAGCTCAGACAGTTATCATATATGATAAGAGCTTTTCTTTGATTTTCTCCTTTCACAAAAGTCAACACTTCCAAATTCTCATTAATTCAATGACAGAGCGACTAAGAGGGCCTTAGGTTATTTAGCGTTGCCTTTATAAACATGGACGGTGTGTATGTGTATGCGTGCATCCTTACCATTGTCAATCTGTTCGACAGGGCGATCAAGCCAGTAATATTTTTTTAACATGTACATCAGTCTTCTGACTCCAACCTCTCGTCGAATATGTGCAGCACCCCCTAATCCCGTCACAAGGTCTGTCGCAAATACACTGAATAGCTGAAGTTGTACCTAGGGAGGAGTGGGTGGTGGTCAAGCGAAATTAAACAAAAGCAGTGGGATTTAGGAATAAAATACTTCAAGTTCTTTCTGGTCGGCTAGTTCTTCTCATTATGCATTCTTGCTTGAGCAATTAATAAATGTAATAAATGCGCACATAATCTTCAGGCCGCAAAAAACACACACGCCATCAAAAAAAAGACAAGAAAGAAAAAGATTGAAATTGCAAATGGAAAGCGTGAATGAAGGAACAATAACAAGAAAAAGTAGGGTTTTGTGAAACGGAATAAAAGCAAGAAAGAAGAAAGCTGTGGGTATTTTTACCCAAATGCTTTGCGCTCTCGCCTCGCGACAAATACATGTAAACCAAAAGCCTGACCTCCCATTTACTCCTTTCAAAAGTAATCAGCTATGTACAAGACTGGAAATAATACCTTAGCAGAAGTCTTCACCCATAGGTTAGGGTTGAACAACACGTGATCTAGAAGGCTACCTAGCAACGGTCCACCTCCTGGGGTATACAACAGATGCCTGAAACAATATCAAAATAGAAAACACTTAGTAATCCTGAAATAAGATCTTAGGGATTATTATTTCTGAGTGCATAATATCTTGCTCTGCAGATTCTTAATCTCCATTGACAACGGAAGAGTATTATCAGCTTATCCACTTGTAAGGGTTAATCTGAAGTTGACGCGCAGTATCATTGTCTAGTTGTCCATCTTCAACGACAAGAACGATAAGAAAGCAACAGCATCTACATTCTTGTTTTTTTTTTTTTATTTCCTATATTCTCGTTTGGTTTCAGGCAAGAAATAAAGGAGTGTAGGTAAATATGGCCATTACTTTTGTGATGCACTAACACAACGGAGACAACGGGAAAAGTTAAAAAAATCAAAATAAATAAAACCAGAAAATGAACATTTTGTAGACCAAAAAAAAAAAAGGGAACATGTCAAAAGTGCATTCCTTTGGAGGCCTTTTTTCGAACGACGTCAAGTTTTATGGTGTTCGATCACACTTTTTAATGATCACAGTTAAAACAGTTATCTATTCCTCAACGTCAGCTGTATATATATCGTTTCCGATGTAAAGATACGAGTATTCCACGATTTCAGTAACCGGTTTAATACACTACCTTGCAAGGGAGAGCAGTATGTTCAATGACTGTTCCGTGAGGTAAGGTACGCTTGTCTGTTAGAATAACAACATACTCAAAGTCAGGAAATAATTAGGACAATATCGTGGTCATGGTGGAGAACGTAGGGTTAATAGGCTGTTCAACTTGTAAGTGGAAAATCTAATCGCTTCCGGTAACCGTCACGCACATGTATGGAGTCACATGGAGTCGAATAGAGTCATAGTCGCGAGAATACAAAGTCTCTCTTAGTGTTGATGTTGGGATCGGTATTAGCCATTCCGAGGTTAAGAAAAAGACTAGGTCGAGTTGGCAATGCATTATGGGACTGAGACGAATGGACGCCATCTTGGAAATATGTCCCTCTAAAAGAGACCCACAATGCACTGCAATGCCAACTCGACTAAGTCCTTTCCTCAAGCTCGTAATGGCTGATAGTATCTCCTGTGGTGTGATGATGTAGCTAGGAGACGGTTTTTTTTTCAACGCAGTGAACCCCAATAGTTTTTCCTGTACCTTTTCAAGAATGTTACTGATAACAAGGAATCCCTGACATCGCATCATCTGCTGTTGACTCGTGGAAGAACTTTTGAGTAGATCGGAAAGCAGAGACAGCAAAACAGCACTACAAAAGACAAAATAAGAATCAGCTCCGTAAACGAAAATATCACATTCTGAATAGGAATAAGAAGGGGAGAAATAGTTATCTTAGTCTGGTGAATGACGTCATAACCTGTTTCCACCTGTGCCACAGGCCTCCCAATTTTAAAATCTAACGTTCAGAAGAACCTTACCATATCGTTACGTCTGGTGCGGATTCATTTTCGTCTTGCGCAAAATCAAGTTGAGTAAAGAGAGGAAGAAGCATCTAAATGGAAATTATAAAGCCTTTTAAAATAGGTAAACAAAACACTTGAACCGGCACAGATTAGGACGAGCAGTTGTGATAAAATGGTAGATAATCAAACATACCTGAATTCCGCCAAGTGAATGAAGCGCACTTTGAAATGAATGAGTGATTACAGCCTGGACACCCTAAAAGACCAATGAAGGAAAAAATAAAACAAATTTTTTTTCATTGTGGCAACTCCTTCACGCATTTTTTTTCCTCTTTTTCTTTTCTTTT